CCTCCTGGACAGGCTCTCTCCCTCCTTCACACCGACCACTGACCTCCGTGGCTTCCTTTGAGGCCCAACTAAAATTCCACCTTCTACAGGAAGCTTTCCCCAACCCCTCTTCGTTCCAGTGCCTCCCCTCGTTAATTATCTCCCCATTTATCATCTATATAGTTTGCTTTGCATATAGTTATTTGCGTATTTTCTCTCCCAGTAGCTTGTGAATTCCTTGAAGGTAGGGACTGTCTTTTTGTATCCCCAGTGCTTAGCATAGTACCTGGTACATAGCAGGCACTTAATAAATGTTTATTGATTAACTGATTAAAATGGGCATAATAATATTGACTTCACAAGGTCATATTACTAATAATAGCTAGCACTTTCATACTGCTTTAAGGTTTGCAAAGCGTTTTCCTCACATAGGTTGTAAGATCAAAGTGCTATAGGAATGTTTACAACTGTGACTATTGGACTTGGAATTCAGTAAGACGGGTTGCAATCATAGCTCTGGTACTAGCTGTGTGACCCTGGGGGAGTCACATGCTCTGTCCAAGCCTCAGTTTTCTCACCTCAGGAGCAAGAAGTGTTTGGTTCTTGCCCCATCCCAACTTTAGTAAGAGCCTGGTAGAGCCTCCCAGAGCACGGGCTCTGCCCACGCACCCTTCAAGGACCCCGAGTCAACACCTCCCTATGGCGAGGCGGCCCTGTGTGGATTCTTAGTGGAAAGGGTTTGTCTCCCTTCTTTATTTGGCTGGAGAATAGAGTGTATGTCACTAGCACTGTGCCCAGCACTCAGTAGGGGCTTAATAAATGCTTGTTGACTTGGTGCCTAGATGTTTACTTAAATCCTGCCCTTTCTGACCTCAAAAGAAGCATCATCACCAACATTAATTCAGACCCAGCCCGCCTCTGTATTCCACCAAGTTGGCCAGCCACCCCGACTGAACGGGATGCTGCAAAGTCCAGGAGCTGATGCTCTCTTTTCTTCCCCAAAGACACCACTGAAAACAGAAAGGCGAGGAAGCAATTCTCAATGCCACACGTAGACACTCCACCACCCACTTCCAACCACAGCTCTGGCAGCGCTGCCCACATGAAGCCTTATCTGAGGCACCCTGTGGCATCAGCGCACACCCTCTCTCCCACAACTATGGTACTCCCTATTTAATTAGATTTTTCTCCCTTTAGACTTCAAGCTCCTTGAGGGCAGAAACTATTTCACTGTTGTCTTATTACCAAGACTTAGCACAGTAACCACAAGTACAGGGCACCCCATGCACTGACCACACACACACAACACACACACACACACACACACACACTCAAACAGGGATTAATGGACAGGAGATAAATGGGCACCGAGGCATCTTTCCTTTTTTTTTTTTTGGCAAGGCAATTGGGGTAAAGTGACTTGCCCAGGGTCACACAGCTAATAACATCAAGCGTCTGAGGCCAGATTTGAACTCAGGTCCTCCTGACTCCAGGGCCGGTGCTCTATCCACTGCACCACCTAGCTGCCCCAGAGGCATCTTTCCTGGAATGGCTTTCTCACTGGGGCAGCACCATTGACTTGTTCAAGCAGAGGTCAAAACGAAAAGAGAGGACTACAGATGTTAGCAATGTGGTTCAATTAGGATTAGAAAGGTGGCATGGTGTAGCATAATGATGGTGCCAAACTGACCTATTCAGTCACAGTAACGGGCAAAATATTGAAAACTGATCAAGGAAAAGACATCAACGTGGCTGTTCCTTTCCCTCGCCACGCTGAATCAACACAAAGCAAACACCACAACGAGGAAGCGCAAACAGCCCAGAAACCACGTGATCTCCCTTCCAAGCGCAGAGAGCTGGCGGCCAAGACGGCCTCACAAACCAGCAGAGAGCAGAAAGCTTGCCAGGGCCCCAACTGAGCCAGACCATCCTGGGGTCATTGAAGATGAAATCCCAGGCTCCCTTCATGCTAGGGTCTTCCCCGAGAGTATCCTGATTCACCACGTATGTGTTGTTTGCGCCCAGTGTTTGCATATCGTCTCGCCCATTAAGCTGTGAGCCCTGTGAGGGCAGAGCTGTTTTTGCCCTTCTTTCTATTGCCAGTATTTAGCCCAGGACCCGGCACATAGTAGGTGCTTAATAAATGCTCATCATCGACAGAGCCTGCTGAGTCTGGCAGCTGGACCTAGAGCCAGGCTGGGTTGCCAATGAGAAAGCGTACAGCACCTTCCACAGTCCTAAGCTCCTTCCCGAAACAAAAGCTCATTAAAAAGCCCACCACCACTGATTTTCCTGGGACATTCCCCAGCCATGAATCCTGGAGCACCACATGCCCCAAGGAATCAGTCAAAGGTGGGAGGTCAAAGGGCCTCGTGGAGAGCGCGTTGGCTGCTCTGCTAGGAAGTCCTGGACCCAAGGACAGACAACAGACGGGTCCTGTCCAGACCCCCACGGCAGCCCCAGAGAGTGGCCAGGCCTGTGGCCTGGAGTGCGGGGGTACGTACCCTCTGCTTCTCCTCTCTGCCTCCAAAGAAATCCAGGGGCCAGACCAGAGGATACTTTTTTTATTTGCCGGGGGAAGGTGGGCAGGTGGACACGCCCTATGAGAGAGGGCGAAGGGGACAGGACAGGGAGAGCAAACCCCCAGGGCCAGCCCCGGGCTGGGTGGGAAGCCTGGAGCTAGCCCCGCTCGCAGATGACCTCCACCACACTGGGCTCCATGGGCACAGGGTCGAGGCAGCGCAGGGCGGCAGACGCCACCACCTCGTCTAGCAGCAGGTGGACCAGCTCCTCGTCAGCCACGAAGCGCCACAGGTAAAGCTGGAGAAAGTGGCAGTCCACCTGGACCTGCTGGAGGCCGTAGCGGCCAAAGGTGCGCAGCCGGACACACTCCAGCAAGGTCTTCAGGCTTATCTTGATGATGCCTGTGAGGACAGACACCTGCGGGAGGGGAAAGGGACGGCACGGACGAGGTCAGCGTGGACACCTGCGGGGGTCAGCACGTGTGCGTGTGGGTGGGGGAACAGGGTACAGGCAGGGTCAGTGCGGACGCTGTAAGGGGACGGCACGGACGAGGTCAGCGTGGACACCTGCGGGGGTCAGCACGTGTGCGTGTGGGCGGGGGAACAGGGTACAGGCAGGGTCGTTGCGGACAGTGTAAGGGGACGGCACGGACGAGGTCAGTGTGGACACCTGTATGGGACAGGAATGGTGCGCACAGGGTCGGTGTGGACACTGGGAAGACAGCAGAGTCAGGACAAACCTCTGAGCGGGGAGGACAGACTGTGAAGTAGAGGGTTCTCTGGGCTGATCCTCGAGGTCCCCAGGGATAGGAAGGTGGAAAGACACAAACCCAGAAGGGCAGACGGGAGAGAGTGGAAGGGGCAGGGGAAGGGGGGCAGGGGACCCTCTCAGACCTTGTTGAATTCCACAGGGCTGAAGACGTCGATGCGTTCCGAGAACAGCTTCTGAATGTTGCTCAGAAGATTGGTATCCATCGGGGCACTAGGCAGGGAGGGCAGGAGGATTTAGCCGGGGGGGGCTCTGGGGCCCAAGCAGCCCCCCACCCCTGGACCTCGCGGGCTCTCACCTGGGGGTGTAGCTGGGGGCATAGCGGCCCTGCTGCCGGGAGCTGCTATACACGGAGAAGGTCCTTTTACTGGAGTCACTGCTCTGGGCTTTTCGAACGCCCTCCTCGTACAGAAGCCCCACCTGTGAGACACAGAGGGCTGGCTGGGACTGGGGGGGCTGTACTGTCCCTAAGCAGGGCCCCCGACCCCCAGGCAGCACCAGCTCCTCTTCTGAAGCAGAGGCTGCCGGAGGGCAGGTGAAGTGCAGGTCAGGGACAGAAGCCGCCGCCCCCCCGCCTGCGTCCGCCCCCCCCCGCCTGCGTCTGCCACCCCTCCCCCCGCGCCCCAGCACCTGCACGTCGATGGCGGTCGTGTCCTCCACCACACGCTTCATGACGGCACGCACGTTGCGGGGCTCCAGCGTGGTGAGCCAGTCGCGGGTCTCCACGCTCTTGCGCAGCATCTGGGACACCACCAGTCCCTGCACCTTCACGTAGTGGGTCAGCAGCCTCCGCGCGGTCTCTCTCGCCTCCCCACACAAGGCGCTCACTGGGGTCACGGGGGAATGGTCCTGGGGAGGGGATGCGGAGTGGAGAGAAGGGGTCCTTCAGAATACCCCAGGGCTGAGGGCACACGGCAAGCTGGAGGAGGGCAGGAGTCTGCTGGGCCTCAGGGCACCCAAGGCGGCCAATGGCATGGCAAGAGCATGAGCCTGGGGTCAAGATCTGGGTTCAAATTGTGATGAAACCACGTGACCATGGGAAAGTTCCCCAAGTGGTCTAGATCCCAGTTTCCTCCGACCTCGAATGAGGGGGCTGCACCAGATGACCTCCCGGGGCCCATCTGACAGACTGACACAATCGTCCCCCACCCATCCCTGGGAGGAGCAGACGAGAGATCAAGGGCAGAGCCCACCCATCCAGGGGACCCAGATTCAAATCCTGGCTCTGACACTCCCTAGGAATTGCCTCTCCACCTCAGCCTTGGAGGCCTCAAGGATCAATGTGGCTAACAAGCCCTGACAGGGTGTCGTGATGGTGGCTGCACAGAACATCAGAGCAGAAGAGACGTGTAGGTCGTCACCTGCCCAAGAAACTGCTCGTCAGTGAGCGTGAGGATGTAGGAGATGGTGGAGGTCTCGTAGTCCAGGCAGAGGCGGGACAGCAGCAGGAGCAGGGCTGGAGGCGTGGCACCCCCCTTCTCGCTGGGGCTGTCGCAGAAGCCTCGCGCTGTCTGGCACATGGAACGGATGAAGCCCACGATGAGGCCCTCGCGAACGCCCTGGCTGCAGAACTCGCCCTGGAAGGAGACGGCGGGAGACAGGAGGGTGGGTCACCTGGAGGGAGCAGGGGCAGGCGAGGGCCGGGCAGGAGAGAAGGGAGTCACTGCCAGGGAGGAGAGACAAGCGCAGGGAAGAAAAACCCCGGGCCACTCTCCAGAAGCATCGTCCGTGACGGATCTGGAGAGACCTTAGGCCCCACTGAGCAGCGGCCTAACCCCACCCCGTGGGCTCTCTGGCCCCCACAAGGCGCAGCTGCTGACCCTGGGCTCACCCACCCCACGCCCCACGTGTTCCAAAATGGCTTCCCTGGAGGCCGGTCCCTCCCCTAGGAACAGGGGGAAGGGCTGGCCCCTCACCCTGAAGTAGGCCTTGTTGGAGAAGGACACATCCTTGGCAGTGAAGAGGTGCACGGCAGCCAAGGAGGCCTTGATGTGGCCCAGGATGGCCCCGGACACCGAGGCCAGGAGCTCCCCCAGGCCTGGGCCCTCCTTGCCCGCCAGCCGGGGGGCAGCCAGGGCCTGGCGCACATCCGTCAGGCAGCCCGAGAAGGCGGCACACAGGCCCTGCAGGTGCTGGCCCAGCCGCTCCCGTGCCGCCCGCTCTACGATCTCGGTGGCCCCCTCTGTCAGCCCAGCCGCGGGCAGCATCGTGCCCGGGGCCCGCAGGCGCCGGTGGAAACGATCCAGGGCCCGTACCAGGAGCGAATTGTCCCCGCTTCCCTGCTCTCGCGCCAGCCGCCTCTCCACGAGAGCAAAGTAGCGGCTGCCCAGCTCCCGGGCGAAGGCCACCAGCTTCTCCACACCTGCCGGTCCCTGGGCAGAAAAGAGCTCCTGGTAGGACGCCACCACTTGGCAAAGCCCGCTCACAAAGCCGCTACCACCTCGGTCGGTAAACTCCAGCACGTCGGGGGCTGGAGATGAGGGGCCCAGCTCTGCCTCCAGGCTGCCCAGCTCGCCTTCAAGACGCCCCCTGGCATGGGCCAGGAACTCATCACACAGCTCCTCCGCCGGCTCTCCCAGGGCCAGCAGCAGCTCCACACACTCGGCCAGCTCTGGGGCCCCCGCCCCACCATCCCTGTAGGGGGGGGAGACGGAGGTGAGCACTGGCCGGGGCAGAGGGCCGTACCAGGGTACGAGCTGGCGTGGGCCAGGGGGCAGAGGGGGCTGGGGGGAGGGGAAGCCCAGGAGCCGGTACCTGAACTTGTGGCGCAGCTGCTGGGCCAGGCGGGCGGTGATGAGCTGGCAGTCGTCCTGGATGGCGCGGAAGGAGGGTAGGTGCTGGTACTGCTGCAGCACCGCCCGTGCCCTGCCCTGGTAGCGCACCGCCTGCCCATAGGCCCCCAGCTCCACGCACTTGGTGAGGCGCGAGGGCAGCTCAAAGAGGAACTGCAGCTTCCTCAGCAAGGCGTGGACCCCTGCAAAAGAGGACTGAGGGCACCGCCTGGGACAAGGCCCCACCCTGCACCTACCCCGCCCCCCACGCTCCGCCGCGGCCCCCCCCCGGCCCCGCCCCCCCCGCTCCCCCGCGGCCCCCCCCCCCCGCCCCGCCCCCGCCGCACCTGCCAGCTTGGTGATGCGCTCGTGCCGGTCCTGCAGCGTGGCGCTGATGCGGGCGCTGAAGTCCGTGATGACCGCCATGGTGGCCGCCAGGCGGTCCATCTCGTCCTCCATCTTCCGGAAATCATTCTTCATCTTGCGGATGGTGTCTGCGGAGACCCCGGCCCGCCTTCGGTCTACGGTGCCCTCCCGCCTGCCCGAGCCCCCCCCGGGGGGGGGGGGGGGGCACGGCCCGAGCTGCGGCCCCGCCGGCCGCCCGGCTGCCTCCTCGGGTGGGGGGGGGGGGGGGCCCCCGCGGGGGGGGGGGGGGGGGGGGGTGGGGCTGGGGGCGGGGCGGGGCCCCCTCACCCGTGGCGCAGATGAACTTGTTGTAGTTCTCGTAGACCAGGGTCTGCATGTCGCTGTCCAGCGCGCGGATCTGCCGGACCATGTCCGTCTCGCTGTCCATCAGCTGGGCCAGGGGACACTCCTTCCTCAGCTGGGGGGAGGGGCAGAGACGGGCTGTCAGCGCCGGGGGGGGGGGGCTCAGGGGGGCGCGGTGGGGCCCAGCGCGAGACCACGGAGGCGCCCCACCTTGTCCAGGAACACCTCCGGGTCGAAGTGCGCGCCGTTGAGGTCCGTGGGGTCCCGCGGGTCGGGGGTCGCCCCCGGGGCCGCGGCCTCAGCCTCGGGGAGACCGTAGTACAGCTTCAGCATCCCATGCGCCTTCCGCCGCCGCTCGGGGGCCTCGGGCTCCTCCGGGGACGCCCCCGGCCCCGGCCCAGGCCCCGGCCCCGCCGCCGCCTCCATCCCGGCCACTCAGGCGGCCCCCCCGCAGCGCAGCCGGTCACTTCCGGCTGTGGGGAGGCGCTCCGACCGGAAACGGGTTCCCCCAGCGGTGCGCGGTCCGTCCGGAAAAGGCTCCCCCTCTGAAACGCGTGAACGCGAGAATGGTTCCGGCGCCCCTAGTGGCTGCAGCTGCGCAGGCGCAAAGCGAGGCTAGTGTGGGGCCACCCCGCCAGGCCCGGGGAGAGGCAGTGGGTGAAGTTGTAGATAGGGCGCCGGTGGGAGAGTCAGAAAGACCCGAGTTCAAATCCAGCCACACATTCGCTAGCGGTGTGAGCCCGGGCAAGTCACTTAATCTTCTTTGCCTCAGTTTCCTCAGCTGTAAAATGGTGATAATGACATGGTTGGGAGGGTCAAATAAGACAAGTGTAAAATGCCCAGCGCAATGGCTGGCACGTGGTAGGCCCAGCTATAGGGGCAGGGCAGGGCTGGGCGGGGGCAGCTAGAAAAAGACACTGAGTCCAATCTCATAGCTCGGATCAACTCTGATTCTACCACTTGGGTGACCAGTTCATCTGGAATATCAACACAACAGGTCATTGTGAAATCATTCTCCACCCTGATACCGAGCTGGCCAGATGGATGAGAGGGCCCCTGTAGACACTCAGCCCCTCTCCCCCACCCACACTAACACACTCCCCACAGCAGTTAAGCCACTCTCCCCACTGTGCTGGCTTCCCCATGGGCTGTTCGCTCCTCGAGGGCAGGGAGCCCCGGGGCCTGGCACAGATGAGGGCTTCATCAGTGTTGCCAGTTAAGCTGATTTGAAGTGAGATCTCTAGGAGGCCGGTGCCAATCCTCTGGTGAGGCCCGGATGGCCCCTGCCTGCCCTCAGCCAGCTCCCACAGCCACCCAGACCAGAACAGCCCAAGCTGGGAGATGAGGACATTCTGCACTACGGTGCTGCTCTTACTTCCAGTCGGGGCTTCCTGGAGGAGGGAGACCTGAAGGAGGGCCTGGAGCCCTTGGCTCAGTGAGTTATTTCCGGATAGGAATCTTCAATAGCAGATGCCCAGGGTGGGAGTAAATGGTTTTGGAGGAGGACGGCAAAGCAGACCAGCCTGGATGAAGTAGCAATTCGTGCAAGGAAGGCAGAGCCAGAATGGCCTTGAATGCCATGCCAAAAAAGAGGCATGAAGTTAACACGGTGTGGGAAACCCCCAGAGGTGGAGTCAAAAGACCAAGGTTTGGACCCCTGCTCTGGCTCCGTCATTTCATGGATAAAATGAGGATGGATTTCCCAGCATGAATGTGCCATAAACTCTTAAGATGCCAAGACTGGGGATTTGGGGGGTGTCTGCAAACCCCACAAGGACGGTCTGTTTCCCTCTCGCTCCTGGGCCAGAGAGACACAAGCTGCTTCAAATTAACCTGACCCTCGTCTCCAGAAAGGCCCCTGCCCCCCTCCCCTGCGGGTGCTCTCCCCTCAGAGAAGCCTCCCTTCCCATCTGTAGTGCGCGGCATGGCAGGGCTTCAGAAACGCACTCATTCCTCTGTTCCTTAGAAATGGCCATGGGCTCCACGAAGCTGCTGCTCCCACCCCAGCCAAAAGCGTAAAGCATCTCTCCCGTGACGAATTCTGCGATCAAGCTCACTCCTTGTCTCACCCTGACCTCGGCCTCTCCTAGCTTCATTTTTTGGGGGGGGGGGCACATCCTACTGACATCGGGCCCAAGCTTCCATAGGTGCCTGGTATGTGCTCAGCCCCACGGCTCCTCCGTGGAGGAGGTGGGAGGGTCTAGGACACGTCCACGCAGGAGCTTGGGAGTCTAAGGAAGAGAGGGAGGAATAGCTAAGCAACCCCCACCCCCCCATCTGGGGAAGCCGGGGTGTCCAGAAGAGGACAGCCAGGATGGAAAAAGGCCTCGAGACGGTGACCTAGGGGCATCTGTCAGCTGGTGACCTTGTGCCTGGAAAAGAGAAGATGGGTGGTGGCCCTCGGGTCAAAATAATTGTCTCCAAGTACTCGGAGAGGCATCTGAATGGGTGAGAAGCACAGAGGCACACTTGGGCTGGAGGTCAGCCGGGTGGGATGGGCAGGCCCAGCCTCGGGAGTGCCGTCCCCAGCCCTAGAGAGCCGTCCTAGATGCGATGCTGACTCGTTTGGACCAGAGGGCCGCTCGGGTCTTTCGCACCTCTGCAATTCCGCCATGGGATTGAGAACTGGGAGAAGCTGTCAGGGGATGGCCAATGCCTGCTTCTTGGAGGCGTGTGGAGGGCAGAAGGGGAGGAGCACCCAAATGCAGCAAGAGCAGGGTGTGCACATGGGAGGAGGTGGGGAATGAGGTGGGAGGGACATACAGGGTTGACTGGCTCACGGAATCTCCCTCTGTGCACTGTGCACGGCACGGCTGAGCGCCGGGCGGCCGTGGGGAAAGACCAGAGAAGCAGGACACAGGCGCGGTCGGTCGGCGGCTCCCCTCTGCGTCCCATCCCCCCACCCCCACCCCTCAGGCTGCTGTGGATCCAGCCCCGGCTAAGCCTCGGCGCTGTCCCCCACAGAGCGGCAGGCTTCGCCGTTCTCCCGGCCAGGTGACCTCTCGGAGGGGCCGCAGAGGGGACGCGTGGCTTCCGAGGCCCCCCGGCTCTGAACTGACGCGACTACAGAAAGCCCTGAACGTCAGAGGCCGTTGGTCCGGTCTTCCTCTGAAGGCCCCCCCATCTCTGTGCCCTCCTGCCTGGGGGCCTCCCGGCTCTCCCGGTGCTCTGCCTGGCTCCCTCCTCACCCTCTCCACCCCGTGGCGTTGCTCGTTCCCGTGAAGGTGTCCCATCCCTCCCACGAGAAACTCCCACAGAGACGACTGAGTCCCGCTCAGCCACCCGGTGCTCTCCACCCCGGGCTCGGGCCTACAGGACAGAACCTTCCTGTTTGTTGAATCACGGTGACAAACGGGGACCCCCTCGTGGATTCTCGCGGGGAGCGCGGACTACCACCCGTGGGGGACTCTTCCCAACAACAGGGCAGGGACAACACGTAGGGAGCCCCACCCCCACCCCCAGTTCCGGTCCTCGATCTTTCCAGTCACCTCTCGGTTCTAGAGCCCTCTGGCCATTCTGGTGTCACTGTTCCTGCTCCCCCGGGTTCTAGAACGGCCCGCCGCCAGTGAGCTGTCTGGTCTGGCTCTGCTGCCATGCGCTGGCGTGACAGGATCAGCGTGCTCTTCTTCCCGCCGGGGGTGGTGCTGACGCTGGCATCACTGATGCTCTTGATCCTGCACGTCGGCATCTTCGCCAACGACGTGCACCATTTCTGCATCACCCGCCAATTCAATCTGATGAGCTTCCGCAGCACCGTCATCATCCTGGTGAGCCACGGGGGGCACGGGGCGCCAGGGACCGGGCAGGGCGGGCCACGGCAGCAGGACCCTCCCTCTCTGTGCCTCGTGGGGCTCCAGTTCTCACAGGTGATGAGCATCTGGTGGGCCTCCATGGGGTCGCTCTTCGCAGAGTTGATCGAGGACAAAATTCTGAGGTGTTTCGCCCTGACCGTTCTGAGTAAGTCTGGGGAGTCTGAGAGTGGGGGCGGCGGAAAGGGAGGCTGAGGGAGGAGGGAGTACCTATGCCGGGAGGGGCCGGGAACAGGGGTGAGCCGAACCCGGAGAGCACGATCCCCGGGCTCCACGGGGCGCCGGGGGGCTGGGGGCCACGTCCAGCCCCTCTGTCGCCCCAGTGCTCAACACGGTCATGTTTATCAACCGCCTGACCCTGGAGTTCCTCACCATCACATACCGGGAGGAGAAGCACTGAGACACTGGAGAGGGGCCAGGCTCGAGCCCCGGTGGAAGGAAAGGCCCGGGCTCGGCTTTAATAAAGTCTGTCGTTTATTTTCAACGCCACAGCTTTTCCTGAGGGAGAGGAAGTGTCGAGGGAGTGGGTGTGGACTGCCGCTCTGGGGACGCTTCCGAGGAAAAGCAGATCGGGGACAGAACTTGGCCCCAGGTGGGCCCCGGGAGCACAGCGGCCACAGCCAAAAGGCCCTCGCCCGCTCACATCCCTGGGGCTGTAGTGTCTCAGGAGACAGGAGTGGAGAGGAGAGGGCCGGGGGAGCCAGCACCCCTGCCCCACGCTGGCCACAACTCTGCTCCCAGCGAGGTGGGATTCCCACCAGAGGTGAGGAAGAGAGAGAAGGGGCTCAGGCTGGGCCCACGCGGATGTGAGGGTTCATGAGGGGGTCCAGGTTAGGGTCGCCGTCGGCCGCAGCCCGGCCCAGGCGGGACATGAGAATCAAGAGGGCCAGGAAAGCCAGGGCTCCCAGCAGAAGCAGCAGCCCTGCCCTCTGCAGCAGGGACAGGGGCCGTTTTCGGGACCCCGCTCGGCTCCTGAGGAAGAGAAGCTGAGTCAGGGGCTCTCCTCCTCGCCATGATCGAGCCCCACCCTCTATACCACCTGCCAGGCTCCCAAGCCAGCTGTCCCCCAGGTTTCCTCCCTGAGCTTCCTAACTTCCCCGCCCACCTCGTGGCCCCTGAGTCCCCCTCGTACCTAAGCAGTTGGGCTAACCAGCCCAGGGCAGGCCTCCGTCGGTACTTGTCATCATCACAGTCACCATGGGGGCCCGCAGCCCGACTCCCCTCCCGGGTATCGTATACTTTTCGAGGAGCAGAAACTATTGATAGGAAGCAGAGAGGACTGCGTAAGAGTGGGGATCCCCTTTGGCTTCTCCCCCCATCCTTTCCTTTCCGGGCACCAAGCCAGCAAGCAGGAGCCACGCTCTGGCACTTACCCCCAGCCCCATCAGGCCAAGGGGCAGAGAAGGGGTGCCTTTTCCTCCCCTTCCTCTTCCCTCAGCTCCATCCCAATCCCTGTCAGGATAGGAGGATACACATGGGACCCCCGTCTTGGGACAAAGCAGTGGCCTCTAATGAAGGCCCCCCCCACCAATCCTGTCCCCAGGCCTCACCTGTCAGGGGCTCAGGGCTGCCCATGTGGATAATGGCATGCTGCTCAGGCCGGCCAGGGGAAGGGGGAGGCCTCGAAGGAGTGCTGTAGAAGGCTGCAGCGACTGAGGAGGGGGTTTGCTCTTCCAGCCCCGAGGGGCTACTTGCTGAAGACGGGAGAAAACCATAAGGAGGGGTACAAAACGTACGTAGGGTCTGTGAGCGGGGATATAAAACGACACTGTTACTCACTACTGAAGTCGGACCAATCAGAGAAGCCGGAAGTCTCGAGGACCTCAGGGGCTGGAGTCACTTCATCAATCTGGAGCAGGAAGACCGAAGACCATTAAGCACTCACCATCTTTATGGGGCCCCATGCCTTCTTCCACCCCTCCTGCCCCAAGCCCTCACCAGTGGGAGTCCCAGCCCAGCTCGGGCCCAGTTGACAGTCGCTAGCTTCTCCCGCAAGGCAGTAGCCACAGGGCCTGCGAGGTTGGCAGGGGGAAAGATGGGGCCACTACAGCTAGGGCACTGGTAGCCAGCGGGCGCTGTGTTTCGAGGCAGCTGGGCAGCTCGTTCATTAAGGCATGACCAGTGGAACAGATCTTCCAGGCCAGAGGGGGTGGGAAAAGCAAGAGAAGAGACATTCAGACAAATACTTGAGGAGTCCTTGCCCTTCCCCACTTATCTCCCTAACACTGAACTTTCCAGCTTTCCCAAGCCTAGGTGACTTGAGACCACGCCCACTGCCTCCCTCTGGGATGGGAAACTTTAGACTCCCCAGCCCAAGGAGCCCACACACGCAGACTAGAGACCGAGAACTCTCCCAATTACCTTGAATTCTTAGGGCCATCTAAATAGCTGAGAAAACAAGTTACTTAACGTCTATCTTGACACCTACGTAACTTCTGAACTCCTTTAAAACTCAATTCCAATACTTCCTCCTCTGTGAAGCTTTCCCAAATCCTGTATAACAGGCCGAGCCCCTACTCAGGAGAGGCAGCATGGCTTAATGGAGGTGAGATTCGGAGTCAGAAAGACTCCAGGATCAAATTCGGCCTCAGCTGCTTACGACCTATACCACAATGGGCAAGTCACTGTATCTGTTTCCTCACCTCCAAAACGGGAATGAGAATACCTCCTGTACCAACCCTGCAGAGATACAGGACTTGGTGGGAATTAAGGTATAAAGCACCTTTCAAATCTTGAAGCTGTAAGATTCCTTGTCTGTTGTATCCCAAGGGAAAGGGGGCTAGGTGGGGCGCGCAGATAAGGTTCCCTCTACCAATACAGGTTGGCGCCTTCTCTGCAGCGCGGTCCGGAGGTGACCTGCCCAGGGTCGCCAGCCTGGGTAGATCAGTCAGGGGTCTTTCTGCATAGCTCTCTGTCATACAACCCACTCAGAAACTCAAGCTCTGCAGGACTCTGAGCTCCCCGACTCATCCTGATCCCCACCAGGTGCTCGGTTCCCCTTTCTGCGAGCCGCCTGAGGTCAGGCCTGGCCTCACCGTAGCAGACAAGGCGGGTGGTCTCCCGTGTGGACAGCAGGGTGTTGCAGAGCCGGCAGTTGGGGTTGTAGTCGCTGTCCTGGAGCCACTGCAGGTAGGACTGGACAATGCACTGAGGAGGGGAGGGGGAAGAGACGGGGAGTCGGAGCAGGAAGGGGGATTCTCCCTTCTTACGGTGAGGCTCATCCCAGCCTTCCAGGAGCCCCCGCCCCGCCAGCCCGGCCCGGGGCCCGCCCCGGCGCCCACCTTGGCGTGGTTGGCCACCAGGCAGTGCTCGCACACGTTGACCCGGTGCTCGAAGCAGAACAGGTTGGTCACCTTCCTCTTGGGGCACTTGCACAGCCCCATGGTCTCCCGGGGGCTGCCCTGGGCAGGGGGAAGGGGAGGGTCACCTGGGCGTGGCGCTCCCGCCCCCCTGGGCAGGTAAGAGCCCCGCCCCAACGAGGCCCCGCCCCCCAGGCGCCCCGCCCCCTCGGAGACCCCGCTCCTCCCCCCTCCGACACGACACGGACAGAGCCCCGGGCCCGGGGGCGGCTCGCCCCGAAAGGGCCCCCGCGCATGGGCTCGGGGGTCGGGCCGGGCGGCGGCGGCGGCGGCGGCCGCTCTCACCGGGAGCCGTCGCTTCAGCCCCTCCTGCGGCTCCTGCTACTCTTTTCGCTGCCACGTCTCTTCCGGGTGCGGCGCACACTGATGACGCCACCCCGGCCGCGCGACCCCGTTTCCTCCCCTCCTCCCGGGGCCCCGAGACGCGCGCGTGCGCACTGAGGGAAGGCGTAACCGAACCCTGCGACCCCGCCCCTTCTGCCGGAGCCTTCCTCCTGCGTCACTTCCGGCTTGGCGGGGTATTCGAACGTTCAGCGCTCTTCGCTGCCGCGCGCGGTTTTCTGTCGGCGCGCGAGCGGGTCGAGATGTCGGCGAGACGGAGGCGGAGCCGCAGCCGCTCCGGGGCCGCGGGGGAGCGGGGCGGCGGCGGGGCGAGGCGCTCCGGTGAGCGAGGAGGGGGCGAGCGAGCGCGGCCCGAGGGGCCGAAGGCCGGGGGGCGTAGGTGGGGGCGGGGCGGCCCATTCGGACCTCGGGCTCAGCCTCACCCCCCCCCACCCCCGCCCTGGATTCTCTCCGCAGTGCCCGCTTCCCCGCCGTCTCCTGCTCCCACGCTGCGGAGGTCCCAGCGGAAATCTGGGTCTGCTTTTGAAGCCCCTCCCCAGGTGAGCCCCACTCTCTGCCACCCCCTCCCCCACCCCTCCCCTGCGCCCCCCTTATCCGCTGACCCTCCCACCCCCAGGGCTCCTGTGCCAGCCCCCCCCACCTGCCGACCCTCCCACCACCTGAGTTCATCTGCCACACCCCCCACGGACCCCTCACCTGCCCGACCCTCCCACTCCCACAGCTCCTCTGCCCCCCCCACTGATGACCCTCCCATTCCTCCCCTGCCCTCCCTTCACCCACCAACCCTTTCTGCTTCCTAGCCTTCCACCCCCGCCCCCAGGACCACCATCAACCTGAAAAAGATTGTGCCCCAGACTGCAGAGGTGAGCCACTGTCCACACCCCAGCAGGCAGGTTCTTCCTGCTCTTACTTGGCAGAGCCCACTCCTCATTTTTCTGTTGTCTAGGCCACCTCCCCCGGAGCCCAGAAGTCCATCGCAGTGAAGAAGATCGTGGCCCAGACCCCCGAGGTGAGCTTCATTTCCTGTCCCTCAGCCTCACTTCTGCTCCCCAGGACTGACCCCTGTCTCTCTCCTTCCTCAGGCTGCCCCCCCTGTAGCCAGAAAACCCATCACAGTGAAGAAGCTGGTGGCCAGGACCACGGAGGTGAGCCCCCTGTCTCTGATCCAGGCCCTGGTCACCTTTTCCAGACCATAGCTCTGCTCTCATCCCCACTTGACCAGCCCTATTCCCAGTTCCCCTCAACCATAACAACAGGCATTCATGTAGTACAATAAAGCTGAGTTGGAGTCCAGCCTCACATCCTTACTAGCTTGTGACCCTAGGTGACTCACTTAACCTTCGTCTGCCTCAGTTTCTTCACCTGCAAAATGGGGATAATAACAGCGGTTACCTTGGTGCTATGAGGAGGACGAAATGATGTCATATTCAGAAAGCACTTTGCAAACCTTGAAGTGCCGGCTGTTACTTCAGTCAGTGAACGTTTGCTAAGTTGCATCCTAGGTGCTGCAGGGGATCCAAAGGCCAGAGCGGAGATGAGCTCTCGATCTCAACAAGCTTCCATTTACCGTAGCTCCGTTCTTCTTTGCAGGCTGCTTCTCCTGCAGCCCACACAGCAGTATCCTTAAAGGAGACTGTGCCCCCGCCCCCAGAGGCAAGCCCCGACTCTCCCACCCCCACCTCCCTGCAGCCATGGCCAGCTGCCAACCTGCCACCCTCAGCCTTTCTCCTCTCTCCGTCACAGACCCCTACCTCCCGGGGCCGCAAGTCTGCAGCCAAAAAGAACATGTCCCCGTCTACAGAGGTAAGGCTTGGGGAAGAAGAAGACTGGGTCTGGGAAAATAACAGATTTACCACTTTGTCGTGTTTTCTTTATATCTCAGAGAAAGTCCAGGGTAAGTGCTTTATGTTACGTAACTTCTGCCCAGGTCTCCTGTGTTCTAGCTAAACCAGGTTCTTGTCTGGCCCCTAAATTTTGCTTGTGCTTTCCTGCCTGCGTGTCGGCCTTCCCAGTATTCTCTGTCCAGGATGCCCTCTCTCTCTCCCATTCACCTTTAGCCTCACACAAATGCCACCTCCTCCAGGAAGCCTCTGCCGTCTGGTCAGAACAGCCTCCACGTGATCTCACTCTAGCATTTTATCTGAATTTTTTGGTTGCATTTGTGATAGGTTTTGTTATCGTCACCACATCTGCGTCTTGTCCCCCGGCTAAACTGGGAGCCCCACGAGGGCAGGAGCCAAGCTTCCTGTACAGATACTCATCAAGGGCTCTTGTCTCGTGTACCCTGTGGGACACAAAGGGGAATTAGGGGCAGGGCCACCTGAGAGACAATTGTCCGTCAAGAAGCAAACGCTTGTTAAGCTCTGCCCTGCTGCGCTTCCCCTCGGGGCTCCCGAAGGGCTTGGTTTGTGAGGGAAAGGCTGAGATGCACAGGAGAGCTTTGGAGGATTGCCACAAGGAGTCTGAGGGCAGGAGCACTTGTTTTCACTTGGAGGGTGCGTTGAGAAGGCGGCATCTGACCTGGGCCTTGCAGGAAAGGGGGAATTCTCCAGCAGTGGGCAGGTGGGTTCATACTGAAGTCGGACAGGCTGAGAGCCGGAAGTAGAGAGGCTTCTCTCCAGTTGGGCTAGAGGACGGACCACCTGGGGAGAAGCAAGAGGAAACAGTGGTGGTTGGACGTAGGTAATAAAAGGTTCAGATGCCGCGATTAAGTATGTGTACGTTATTTGGCAGGCAGCAGGGAGGAAGTGAAGGTTTATTAGCGGACTGGTGGAGTCAGGAAGCACCGCAGGCTCTTACAGAGAGGTAGAGACTTACAGAGGTAGAGACTGAGGCCAGCACAGCCCCTGTGCAGAGGGGAGATGGGTCACCCGGCCCCCTGCTTGGCAAGCTCCAGCGGCATTGTGCAGTCATTCCTGACCCCTTCTTACCTGCCTAGTTTTCTTCCATTTGACTTTGCTCCACGTCCTCTGTGATTGAATCCTGTCGCCAGGCTCTGTGCCCTTGCCCTGGCTCTCCTCACTTCCTCCTCTTGGCTTCGTCCCACCTGCCCGAGGCCTTTCTCCAACCTCCCTTCTGAGATTTCCTTCTGTTTACACCCTGATCCTATATGGGCATAGTCATGAGCCTTGGAAACAGGAAGATTGCTGGTATCGGGTGGGGGTCTAAGACACCCACCTTGTATTCGGTGCAAGCAGCACATCCAGGCAGGGATAGCCGGGACACATTCGGAAATAGGGGCGTTTGGCGGTGGGTCCTCTGTTCAGGTTTGACCATGGAAGCCAGAGGCGTGGCCAGGGAAAAACCACGTGTGAGGATGAGTGGTGGGAGAATTAGGAGCTGATGTTATCCCTGGAGCCAAGAGAGGGGAAGGGCCGCTCTCTGTAGAGCCCCCTCCCACGCTTTTTCCTTACCTTTCACTTTTGTCTTTGACTTCCCCCTACAGGTCACACTTACGGAGAAGGAGAACTGTCCCCCTGTACAGGAAAGTGCCCCCCTTGATAAAGGCAGCTCTCCTGTCACCGCGGGCCCAGCTCTGGAAGTGACTGCCACAATGCTAGGCCCTCTGACCCCTAATGCTGTCACCAGGCCAGATCTCATGGATGCCAGAGACCTGGAGATGTCCAGGAAAGTCCGGCGTTCTTACAGCCGCCTCGATGACCTGGGCTCCGGCTCCACCTCGACGCCCAACTACCGACGGCGCTCCTTCTTTGGCTTCGACAGACTGCTCTCAGGAGAGGAGCTGGAGAACGTCTCCCCTGTGGTGGAGAAGGAGCCAAAAAGCCAAGCAGTCGCCCCCACCGCTGAGCCCTGGGGGCCGGACTTCACCCTGCCTGGCATCACCATGACCAAGGAGAAGCGCCGGAAGAGGAAGGCGCCCGAGATCTTGGTGAGCATGCCGGCCCGCCTGGCCGAGAAGCAGCCGCCCCACCCCCCACATCTCCCCTGGGGGTTGTCAGGCCTCTCGAGGCAGCTGCTGCTTCCCTGTGGAGCCACGTCCAGGCTTCGTCCTCCCCCTGCCTCCTCTGTCCCTTTCGTCGGTGCTCACGGAGGCTGGCGTCTCCAGTTCTCTCGCTATCCCAGACGCCCTCCTGGAGGGAGCATCCGCTTGGCCGGTGTCCTTAAAGTGCAGACTCAGCACTGACCACCGGACTTGGGAGGGGGTCAGACCCAGGCAGAGGGCAGTGGGAATCTCTCCTCCCTCATTCTGGGTGGTGGGCAGCATTCTGGCTGCCACATCTCCCCACTGACCAACACTGAGCTCATGGTTTACCCAACCCCAGATCTGACCCTGGTCAAGGTTTTACATTCTTTGGATAACGTTCATCTCATGCAGCCCCTCTGAGCCTTTGTAGATCCCACTTCTGGCATCTGTCCTGTTAGCCATTGCTCCCGCTAGCCCATCTTCACATCTGCTGCACCTGTTGGCTCTGCCTTCATCCAACTTGCTGATAAAAACATGACTGGGAAGACGCCACGGAGGGTTCCTGGGCCCTCGCTGTCCTGAGGTTGTCTAGCAGATGAGCCTCGGCAACTGGTCATTGAGCCAGATGAGAATCCTCCTGACTGTTGTCGTCCAGGACCCAGGAAAGGCCTTGTTTTGCCCCATCTCGGTATTCTGCCCTTCAGGCCTTTACCCGATCCCACCAGCCTAGTCATTCTGGCAGGGGCAAAGAGCTTCGGCTGGTGTGACTTCTTGATGAAGCCGTGCTGGCTCTTTGTGGCCACTTCTTCCTTTCCGAAGGCCCATAAACCATCCCTTTAATAATACGTTCTAACATTTTGCCAGGAAGCGAAGTCAAGCCTGTCTAGATATGGTTTGACGTAGAAAAATGTAAGAAAAATCAGTGTGACCGGCCGGGCCCCTGCGCCATTCTGTACCTGTGGCCCCCTGCCTCTCCCAAAAGGAAGGAGATGTGTCCTGTCACCCCCTCGTACCAGCCTCAGAGCCATCACGTTCTCCACGTCTTCCGGCACCCTGGCCCAGGGGTGTCAGTCTCACAGAGGGCAGGTGGGTGGTCCCGTTTCCATTCCCATAACCATTCCTGTTCTCTGTAGAGTTCAGTCTTCCCTCCTTTTATCATCGGACCACCCACCTAGGCCGTGGCTCCTCCCTCCCCTCTTTGGGGTCTCTCTGCCCTGCAGCTGCCTCAGCTCTTCTTGAGATCTGGCTCTCCAGGCTCTTTTCTCACGATGCTAGGTCTCCGCTCCCTTTCCTGTCCGTGTGTTTTTGAAACCTCAGCCGGGCGATGAGTTCTTAGGTAGCTCCCCCGTACCTTCCTCGTTGCTTTCGTGGGTGACTTCCATCGCTGACTTTGGGGAGTTTGGTCCTTTGCTGAGAAGGACAGCACAGCTCCTGGATATGGCATCAGAGAACCCGGGTTCAGATCTTCCCCTGCCTCTTGCGTGCCTGGCCTCGGTGTCCTTGTGTGCACGTGACCTTGGAGGCGTCTTCTGGCTCGGCCTCTCGGATCCTGAGGGGCATCTGGCTGTCTTGGCTCACGCCGGTCTTCCCACGTCTCAGGCTTGTGGGGGGAGCCGTTCCTTCCCCTTCTCCTGCTGCCCCTCGCAGACCGACGCATGGCGCCCTGGCACTCCTTCGTTTCCTTCTCTCGCCCTTGACCGCCTCCAAACCCTCCCCCACCCCAGCCTCCCCTTTGTGGCTCCTCCAGGGCTGTTCTCCCTGCATGGGCCAACGATGCCCTTTGCAGTGAGGCGCTCCCCTCTCCTCCCCCATTGCAAGCCAGTCACGTTCCACAGCATCTCGGCGATCTCACTCTCCACTGAGCTGATCACTGTGTGTGGTGGCCAGAAGTGGAGGTCCCTGCTCTTCTTGATTGGAGTTCTCTGTCCCTTCCTCGTCGTTCACCCCCGAAGCGCTGGAGGGCCCAGGCAGCCACTCTGGCGTGGCAGGGGCCCGCACGTCCAGCCAAGGCTGGGTTGGGGGGCTCATTTGGATGTCCCCCTTCCTGCTCACACCCCCCTCCTCTCATCCCTGCAGAAATCAGAGCTGGACGAGTGGGCGGCTGCCATGAATGCCCAGTTTGAGGCTGCGGAGAAGTTTGATCTCCTGGTGGAGTGAGGTGGATGAAGAGGGGATGGCTGGACTGGGCCGGACTGCCCCCTCCTGTACATAGTACTCGGCCGCCATCGTTGGCTGCCCCCTTTGCCCGTGGAGATGTGCCCCTTCTCTGGGGGGTTGGCGCTTGCCCTTTGAGCCGCCCTGGGTCCTTCTACCTCGTGGACGCAGATGGGGACGTCGCTGAGAACTGCCTTGTTACTGCCCGCTTTTCGTAGCTCCCCATCCAGTAGATGCCGTGCAGACAGCTCTTGGGCTCGTCCCACTATGTCCTGAGGTGCTTCGTTTCCCCTTCCCCAGGTTTTAATCAGGAAGAATAAAGGCGGCAGTTGGAACCCACGGAAGTGTTAGGAAGCAGGCTGTCTGGGAAGAGAGCTGGGGGTGGGGGGAGCAGGGCCCTGCCGCTGGCACATCCTCGGTCAGCATCTCCCTCTTCCCTCCTCTCCTCTCGTCCCCACCGGTTTTCCTGGGGGTGGGGAAGGCCTTGCCATTGCTCCTGGGAGGTAGGAGCCAGGGAGATTGGCTTCAGCCTGAGCCCCCTCCCCCAGGGTGCTGAGGTCTGCGGGCACCCTCTGCGTAAGGGTGTGGCTTTGTGCTCCCCCATAGGCCCAGCCCCTGCTGGTTCCTTCTGGTGAGGAAGTTGGTAAACTGATGGGACGGGTGTGTTGGGTCAAGGTGAATCACCCCCTCTTAGATGACCTTCCCAGAGGAAGGGACACAGGACTAGATGGCCAGCCCCCAGGCCACAGCTGGACGCTCCCAGAAGCACAAGGGAGACTGCTGAGCTTCCTGGCCTGCGGTCTGTTTGGTGCCCAGTGGGGTGAGAGTTTTCCAGCCGACCCCCAGGCCGCAATACCCAATGACCTTACTGCAGGCTCGGCCTAGGCCGGTGGGGTCACGTTCAAATAGAAAGAGGCCCAAATGAACGTTGTTGATGTTAAGTTTTGTTTATTTTGTTAACAATTTCTCAATTACATTTTTTCATTTTAATTTTTTATTAATTTGTTTTGATTTGTCAACAATCACTTCCATATGCTTTTGAGTTTAAAGTTTTTCTCCACCTCCCTCCCCAAGACAATACACAATCTGATACAGGCTAGATATATACATTCCTATTAAACATGTTTTCACATTAGTGATGTTGTAAGGAAGATTTAGAACCAATAGGAGGAACCACCGGAAAGAGGAAACAAAACAAAACAGAAGAGGAAAAAATAGCAAACAGTCTGCTTCGATCTGCGTTCAAGACTCCACGGTTCTTTCTCTGGATGTGGGTAGCATTTTCCATCACGAGGCCTTTGGAGATGTCTTAGATCCTTGCATTGCTGAGAAGGGTTGAGTCTAACAATTATAGTCATCACACAGTGTGGCTGTCACTGTGTACAACATTCTCCTGGTTCTGCTCACTTCACTCAGCATCAGTCCATATGAGTCTTTCCAGGTTTTTCTGAAGTCCGCCTGCTCATCATTTCTTATAGCACAATAGTATTCCATTACATTCATGTACCACAACTTGTTCAGCCATTCCCCAGTTGATGGGCATCCTCTCAATTTCCAACTCTTTGCCACCACAAAAAGAGCTGCTAGAAATATTTTGTACATGTGGGTCCTTTTGCCATTTGTATGATCTCTTTGGGATACGGCCCTGGAAGTGCTATTGCTGGGTCAAAGGCTATGTACACTTTTATAGCCCTTGGGCATAGTTCCAAATTGCTCTCCAGACTGGTTGGATCAGTTCACAACTCCACCAACAATGCATTAGTGTTCCCATTTTCCCACATCTTCTCCGACATTGATCATTTTCTTGTTTTGTCATCTTGGCCAATCTCAATTACATTTTAATCTGGTTTACACACACAACAGTTTTTTGAACCGAAGTGTGACCTCTCTGGCCAAAATCCAGCTTCAGATCAAGGGCAGGATGCCCTGAGATTGGGTTAGGTGACCAGGCTGGACTGCAGCGATGCCTCCCGGGATAGCCTGAGACACTGAGGCTGCCCTTCTAGCCAGCCCATAGGCCCAGTTCATTGGGTCATTCTCTCCTACCCTCTGACTGTGAGGCTTGGCGTGGACAAGTCTATGAAAGCCATGTGTGGGCCCCAGCCCCTGGCCTCAGCTGCGGCCTCCCCCCAGACCCTCTCTGGCAGTGCAGAAATGCTCATTTAGCTGGGGGGTCAATAAAGCCGGCCTCGACATGCACCTTGGCACATAATGAAGCATCCAAAAAAGTTTGGAATTGGGGAGAGACCAAGGAGCTGGGACCCAGGTCATACGTCACTGGCTTGTAGATGGAGCCGTCTTGAGCACAGAGACACAGACCCTGCGTGCCTGGGCCAGAGGCCGCAAGCATCCTTTAGAGACTGCCCAGCAACAAGAAGGCTCTCCCTCTTCCCCAGCAGGGGCCCCCTGCTGGGACTATTGGCAGAAGGTGGAGGTTTTGTTCTAAAAGCCGATTAAACTGCTTAACTTCCCCTCTGTCTGGTTTCATGGAGGAGGATCCTGGGCCCACGGACCGCTAAGATCAGTTCAATATGGGAAGCAATTCAACAAAGAGTAGTAGCGGCTGTCCACTGACAGGCTTTTCCGGCATAGTGCCTGCCCCCAAGCAGCTTACGTTCTATTGGGGGGCTGGGGTGGGGGGGCAATGCTGGCAGCTGCAGAACCAAGAGTCTTCATAAAACAGGAAGCTGAGCTTTGGAGGAAACTAGAGGTCTTAAGGAGTGAGGAGAGTGTGGCCCAGGCAGGGAGGACACAGGCCTGGAGACAAGGGGCAGGAGTGGTGGGTGTGAGTCTGGCCGCCCTGAGGAGATACGTGTAAAGCTGACGGCCAGACCGGCTGTGAAAGGCCTTAAATGTCCAGAGCCCCTCTGACCCTGAAGGTCCCTGGGAGCCAGTGACGACCGTTGAGTGAGGGAGTGATGCGGTCAGATAGACAAGCCTGGTACAAAGTCAGTGGAAGACACTGTTCTAGGCCATGGCCCGTGAGTTAATAAACATTTATTAAGCACCTGCTATGTGCCAGGCCGCTCTCCAGAAGCCATCTCAGAGCTTCCCCGGTCCTCTGTGAGAGTGGAGCAAGGCACGCCAGCCCCTTAAAAAGTCAGGAGCTGAATGGAAAGGAAATCAGGCAGCCAGCGTGAGGCTCTGCTCCACGGTCAGAGGGCGAGGATGGAGGTCAGCCCAGCAGCCCTCAATAAATGTCAGCGGAGGTATTGACATAACTAACCAAGCCTATGCCCCACTTTGGCAAGCGTTCAAGGGAATATTGACAGGCGGCTCTCCTCTGCCACCCGGCAGAGCCAGGGGAGGTCAGAGCTCAGAGGACAACAGCTTCAGCCGTCCGCACCCAGCATGAGCCAGAGGCCGGGGTCCTGGGCCAGAGGGCCTCCGGGAGTGGCTGAGGGGAAGCTAGAGGTCCTGGAGAAGTTCTTTCAGCCTCCTTGGGCCTGGGAACGGGCATCCTCACGGAGCTCGTCTTCCTCCTCCCCGGGCTCCTCAGGCCACCCTCCCCAGCTGGGCAGGGGGCCGCTGATCGGCGGCCGGGGCCCCGGGGAGAGGCTGAGGTTTTCCACCTTCCTCGATGAGGTGACACGGAGGGTGCTGAGTCCTGCCCAGCTCCGGGCTCTGGGATGGAGGGGTGCCCTGGACCCACTCAGACACTCTCCTCCCCCAGGAAGCCAGGTAAGAGAAGGGGAAGGGAAGGAGCCTCGCCCGGGCCCCCAGCCCCCTGCTCCAACCCCTCACTGTCTCTTAGCTGGTGTTTCCCGAGGACCGGCTCTCTGAGATGCAGACACAGCCACGTTCGCCGGAGCCCCGAGGGTGAGTCGAGGGGTGGGAGCCCCAAGGCCGGCTGCGGCTCTTCCTCTGCTCTTTCCCAGTCTCCTCCTTCCACCACCATGCCTCTGATCCTGCCCTGTCCCTGCAGAAGTCACTTCATTCATTCGTTCAATAAACATTGACTAAGCACATCCCATGTGCAGAGCCCTGTCCTGAGTTTTGAGGGGCCCCAGTTCATAGTCTGCTAGACTGGGACATAAATAGGGCTAACTCTGAGATGTGCTAAGTGCATCAGGGGAGGGCAAACTCCAGTGCTGTGTAAGGGCTTTACTGATGGGGGAATCACGGAAGGATTCCTGGAGTAGGCCACATTTTATTTCATTAGAACTCCATACCCCCAGCCTTTCCTCAGTCCTCCCGTCTCCCCTCAGGGGCTCCTTGGACACAGGATCTACAGGGGAAGATGGAGATGGGGACCCCAAGTTCAACCTGGGGCAGGTGTGGGAGAAGCTGATGACCTTGAAGGAACAGTTCCTGAGGTGAGGCAGGGACTGGTGAAGTTGGGGTTCCTCCCAGCCCCCCACTTGAGTTCATTACTCAGCTATTGGGAAGTAGCCTGGGATGGGGGAGCCCTGGATTAAGGACCAGAAGGCCTCTGAGCAGGAGTGTGACCCCAGAGGCAGTGCTGAAGGATGGGAAAGTCAAAAGCTCTCAGTTCAAAATCTTGGCTTTACTTAATCTGGGTGATGGTGGCAAATCCCTTTCTGTCTCTAGGCCACGGGTTTGGTTTGGCTTTATTATTTGTGAAATGAAAGATTTCGACTCTCAGGTCTCTTCTAGCTCCGAATCTCATTGTCCTTGTGTGGGCCTCAGTTTCCCCTTCCCAGGGATAAAACGGGACTTACCTTCCAGGGCCGGGAGAAAAGGGCCCGCTCAGCAGGAAGCACAGCTGTCTCCTTGGCTATCTACCCGACAAGCTTTCCGGTGTCCCCACGCATGGGGAGCCGCCCCCTGGGCACACCCGGCCTCTTGTTACAGGCCAGCTGCCCCCTTCGCTTCAGGACTTCAGGGCGAGACCAGGGGAGGGATCCGGTTGAGAGGTCAGCCGGCCAGCCACCGGCTTCAGCCAAAGAAGAGAAGCCTGGGGTCTGGGAGGAGGGAAGGGGGATGTGGGGTCAGGTAGGAAGGGAGCAGGCAGTCTGGGGAGCTGGGAGATCCCCGAAGGAGCACTCCTTGGGGATGTTCCACTGCGGAGCCTTCCTTCCCCAAACAGTCAGTATCCGACTCGGAGAGCCTGGTTCACAGACGGCAGAGCCGGCCAGGAGCGTCTGTGGGCAGGGTGGGCTCTGAAGGGCTTCTTCTCTCCCCACCCCAGGCTGCAGGAGGACCTAGCCAGCACCCACAGGGCCCACCAAGTCCTGGAGGAGAAGCTGCAAAGCCTGGTGTGACTCGGGGCTGGGGCTGGTCCTGAGGAGGGCAGAGGTGGAGGGCAGCTAGCCCCAGCTCCCACTCCAGGCTCATGCCCTGTCTTCTACTCCAGATGTCCAGGTTGGCCTCCAGCCCCCCAGGACCCCCTGTGTTCCTTCTCCTGAACGAGGCTCCCAGCTGCTCCCTGGACTCCGCCATGCCCTGGGCGAGCCCAGAGCTGAGGGAGGGGGGTAGTGTGGGGGTTCTGGGTGCAACCCCATGAGAGGACTGCACCCCAGGCTCCCCTGCCCCACCCTTCTTAATGTCAGCAATAAAGCCCTAGCCACCCCCGCACCTGCTGTGTGTGTGTGTATCAGAAGGTAAGGGGTGCCTGTGTACAGAGGGGTCATCCTCCCCAGCCCCACCCATTCTGCAGAGATGGATGGTTCAAGGGCTTGGGAGCCCAGTGAGATCGAAGAGATAAGCGCCTGGGAGGGGTCGGCTCCCCTCTGGAAGAGATAAGGCTGTGTCTCCTCCCAGCTGACAACGAAGTGATTCACAGTCCAAAGAATGAAAGCCCTCCGAGCCTCTGCCCCCAGCCCCTGGGATCTGGGGAAAGAGCACAGCCTGGAGTCAGCCCACTTCCTCTCTCTGGGCCTCAGTTTCCCCATCTGTAAAACAAAGGAGTCGGAGGTCCCTTCCAGCTCCTGCTGCGTCCTGTCATTGCCCTGGTCCAGGGCAGCCATTTAGAGCTCTGGCTGAGCCTTGGGGGTCAGGCCCCCAGGCCTGGCCAGGTGGGGTTGCTGTGGGTGTGTCTGGGGGAGGGGGAGGGAATGAGGCCTTCATCCGCTGGCACTGGCTTCCTTAGGTTTCAGGAGTCAGCTCTGGAAAGCCCTTTGTGTTACAGGAACTGAGGGGAAGGACTCTTCCAAGGTCACACATCCTGTCCTCTGACTCCAAACCCCACCCCAGGCTGCCGGAGTCTATGCAGGACCAACCATTTCCACTTCCTCCGTTACCCCCTCCCCGTTTGGGAAACGTCCCCGGGGATGAGGGGCGCAGGCTGTGGCCAGAGAAGGGGGAGGCGAGTGGACATTACAGGAACGCTTTGCTAACCTACGCACGCTGAAATGGGAGCTGTGACCCGGGCTTAGCCCAGAGGAGCCCAGCATTTGAAGAGACCACACACCAGGAGCCCCAGAGCTACAGGGGGGCAGACACCCATTTCTGGCTCTGTCCCTGCCTACCTCTGGGACCGTGGCAGACCCTCTCCAATACTCTATGCCTCAGCTTCTCCCTTTGTGAAATGGTGCGGTGGGGTTGGGCTCTTCAGGTGAGAAGGGGGGGACACTGGGTTCACAGGGTGGGGGACTGGGACAGGTAGCTGCGTCTTTCCTATCTCTACCCTTAGTCTGGGAAATTACAGAATTTAAGAGTAGTGTTTATCAAGAAGCAGCTACGCTTTCGAGGGGCCATACTGAGCCTTGAGGCTATAAAGGTGAAAAATTACCTAATCCCCGTCCTGGAGAAATTTTATATCTGGAGGGTCGGTGGTGCAAGTACAAAGAAGAGTACAGCACCTGGAGGCACACAGCTCCCCCGCTCACACAGTAGGTCTACCTACAAGGCCACCCAGGGTTCAAGGTATTCTGAGATTCTGGACCCACCAAAAATCATAGTTCATGAGCCCCCACTGATGGGTTCACCCTTGTGTGTCAGCCAGAGGGCACAATTCATTCTAAGCAAAGGATCACAGACTTGGAGCTGGAAGGGACTGAGGAGGCCCTTTGGTCTGACTCCCTTCTTTGACAGGCAAGGAAAGTGAGGCCCAGCAAGACCGCTCCGCACTTTGCTCTCCTTTACGAGCTCCCTGCTAGCAAGAGTGATGGCGGCAAAGGAGAGAGGCAGGCATAGTGTTCAAGGACAAAGGAGGAGCACGAAGACATTCAAAGCTACAGCCATCAGGAAGACCTCGCGGAGAAGCTGGCACCTGAGCTGGGCCTTGAAAGAAGAGAAGGGTTTTAGCAGGCAGAGGTAGGGAAGGGAGGGCATTCCAGGCATTAGGGAAAGCCTGTGCCAAGGTATGGAGATGAGAAAGGGGATGTGGAGTTTAGGGAACAGCAAATAAGTCAGCTTGGCTAGAACGTAGGTTGTTTGAAGAGGAGGAACAGGAAATATCTGCAAAGTAGACAAGACTCAGACTGTTTAGGCTTTGAGGGAAATTTGAAGAGTTTGATTCTATCCTAGAGGCAACAGGGAGCCACTCAAGGTGGCACAGTGGATTAAGCTCTGAGCCTGGAGTCAGGAAGATCTGAGTACAAATCCACTTTCATAAGAAATACAGGAAATGGGGTACAGAAATCTATCCTGCCCTACAGGAAAATAGAAGGGGAAGGGGATAAGAGAAGGGGGGGAGAGATGGAAGGGAGGGCAGACTAGGGGAAGGGATATTCAGAATGCACGCCATCTTGGGGTGGGGGGAGGGGCAAGATGGGGTGAAAATTTGGAACTCAAAATCTTGTGGAAGTAAATGTTGAAAACTAAAAATAAATAAATTTAAAAATAAGATAAAACAAAACAAACCAAAAAAATCCACTTTCAGACACTGTCTGCCTCAGTTTCCTCCCCTTTAAAATGGGAATTGAGTAGCTAGATGGTTCAATGGATAGAGCACTAGTCCCAGAGTCAGGAAGACTCATCTCCTCGAGTTCAAATCTGGCCTCAGACACTGACTAGCTGCATGACCCTGGGTAAGTCACTTAACTGTCTGCCTCAGTTTCCTCATCTGTAAAATAAGCTGGAGAAAGAAATGGCAAACCACTTGAGTATCTCTGCCAAGAAAAGCCCAAATGGGGTCACCGAGAATCAGACACGACTGAACAACAATAACAACAAAATGGGGATAATGACACCTACTTCGCAGGGCTGTTGTGAGGATCAAATAGATAATAACTGTAAAGCACCTGGCACACAGTAGGCTCTTAATCTTTCTTATTCCCTTCCTTCCTCCCTGGAAAGTTCTTGAGCAGGGCTATGTCCCTAGACTGGAGCCTTAATAAAGTTATTTTGGCAGCTGGACGGAGCAGGGAGCGCAGGGAGAAAGGCTGGAGCCTGGCCTCCAATTGGATGATTGTCCACAGGAGGTGATGGGCTGGGGGTGTCAACATGAGAGCTATCGTGGAAGCAGAATTAACCCACTGGGAGACGCGATGAATGGCGAGTAGTGATGGAGCGGGAATGGTCGAGGTTGACTGAGGCCGCAAAGCCGGCAGATTCAAAGGACAGATGGGTCTCTCCCCAGCAAGGTACCCCTATATGGGGAAAGCTGGCTCCCTGGAGTCATGGCACCCCCGATTTCTCTCCACCCCAGGCAGGTGCAAAGTGCAGGTCCTCCAGGGTAATGGTTAACCAGGGACACAGACACCCCATCTATAAGAAGTCTCCAGCTTGGAGTGGTGGGAATTTCCTTGCACCATGCCGTGGTGGAAAGTGATCCTGTGGTTGGTGGGGCTCGCTGCCCTCTTTAGTTTGGGCATCATCGTGGGACACTTCGCCGTTCCCAAGGAGGCTGACCAGCCTGACTCAACTGGCCCGATCAGTCCCTCCCAGGACCTGGATCAGGAACTGCTGGAGGCTGTCATGGGTCAACTGGATGCCAGCAGGATCCAGGAGAACCTCAGGTGAGCATGTCCACACTGACCCAGGCCCCATCTCTCCACCAAGGTGTTCCAACACTGCCCAAGCCCCCTTCCTCCCCACACTGTCCTC